CTCCTTGAACTCATAGATTATAGCAATTGCCTCAAGTTCCTTTCCTCTCAATCCAGCATAGATCTCCTCTAATTTGACTTTTATTGTGCACCAAGGATATGTTAACATCAAGGCCTACAATGACCTCTCCATGTCAAGTCTCAGGGCCTTTGCTCTCCATACTTGAACTCTGCTGTTTTTATCATGACTGATCATACATTCCTTTTCAAAATCATACTTTGCCTTTGCAACTCTGTCCTCTCCTCACCATTTAACTACTCTGACTAGAACATGTAACATATGGGCCACAAGTGGGAAAGAAAGGAAACTCTGCTAGACTTCCAAAGCTCTGTTAAATAAAAATATTGATCTTTTCTGAAACAGACCTTGTCATATTGCATTGTGAAGTTTTTAATGTAAGCAACAAAGGCCTGATTATCCGTGGTTTCTACAGTTCTGTCATCTTCAGTAATTTTCTATTCCACTTCTCTTTTTGTATTATATTTCATGTTGTGCAGGAATGGTAAAGGCAGCCAGCAGCATACTACCACATTGTTCAGGAGTTTTGGAGTTTTTGTTATATGTACCAATAGCCCTAAGTACCATCTTATGAGACAATATAGCAGTTATTACACTATCATAATATTTATATCAGGCTTCCAAAGAAAACTGAATTGAAGTTGCACATGAAAAAAAAACCCACAAAGTTCCTTGTAGCTAAGTGAATATGTATATAAAGCCCCTAGCCCATAACAAGTTCATAATTTGGGCCTGGATGATCAGTGATGTCCTATAGCTTCAGCTTTTTAATTTATTAGTCATAGTTTATTCCCAGTTTTGAACTCTCTGACTGTTGTCATAAACATCTATAAGTATTTTAGGATGCTGTCAAGACAGTTCAAGTTTGTCTCAAATTAAAAGTCAGAAATAGTGGGGGATCAGTTTTCAAATATTTTCCCAACACTACTTCAGTACTTCTTTGGCATGTTGAACAGTATCATGCTGCTGTTAGAAAGATAATATGACACTTAAAAAAGAAGAAAACTTTATTTGAGGTAATTATTTTGCCTGTAATCCAGGAAACACATTTAGGGCTCTGTCTGAACAAATAAAACTGGACTTATTTTTTGTACCCTGGACGAGAAATCTTACTTATGCCCCTGAACAAAATGGATTAATTCTAATTATTATGTAGGTATATTTAACAACTTACATAAAAGTTATAAAAAGAAACAAAATTCATCTGCCAAAAACACATGGACCAGTGTTTTAAAGATTTGCAGTATTTATTCTCACAATGAACATTTTCACTTACAAAAATCACAGAGTGGCCTTATAGTCTAATAAGTAAGATATTTAGCATGAATATTGTTTGAACTCTGATTTGAAGTGGTGTAACTATATAATATGTCATAAAATAAAATAGAAGGAGAAGGAAGGGAGAATGGCACAGGAAGTCAGATGACAAATAAAATACAATATCTGACAAAATTATTTTGCACAGCAGAAATTAGTCTGATTTTTAGTTTAAAGTGTTTAGTAAGTATCATATGCTGTGGGAAATATTGTCAAAACACTAATGCTTATCTAGATCTGTCTTAATCAGTAATTGCCATAACACATAGGCACAAGAATAAAAAAATCAAAAAAGCATAAAGCCACATCCTTCCTGAGTCCTATTTGTACCTCTCTTGTCCCTAGTTTTGCAAATATAAACAAATACTCTTATTCTTAGCAACTGTGTCAGCCCCTTTTCCACTCTTCTTCTATGTTTTTGTCTACAGCACTCCTTAAATTGTATTCCTTCCCTTCTACTACCAGGAGCCGATCTACCTATCATATTGGCTGCACAAATGGATAAAAGACTGTGTAACAAAACACTTACTGGGAAAGAAATGTTAGTAAAAAAAAAAAAAAAGTGGGTATTGCTTTTTTTTTTTTTTTTGTCCTCAGAAATGCTCTATCCCATGATAGGTAGGTTAGGAACTCTGGAGGCATATCATGACTGTAAAGCTGTAACAACATCAGAAGGAGCCAACTAAAAGTAGTTCTAGTTTTATTTGCTGGTTCAAAGAGGTCAACACAGCATTGCAAAATATAAAATAGTAAACACTGATTCCCCTAAATGAATATGACTTTCATAACAAGGTTAAAATAGAGACATCATAAGGATAAAGATGATGCCTGAACAATGTTTTAACTCCACATTACTGAAATATAGTAATGCAGAAGAAATAGAAAGCATAAATTTTTAAAAAAATTGGCCCTGTTTCAGCTCTTCAAAGGATTATGTAGCACATCTTAACATATTTTGTTTGTTTCATTACTCTTTACTAGTTTGTAGTAAAGTGGTAGATTTTATTCATGCTCACCTCAGACAACAGTCACGTGAAATTCCGATTTGTTTTGATACTAATGAGCTAAACAGTGCTAGGGACATTCCTCTGACTCAGATGTTAAATGGTAAGGTGTAGCCATAACTGCACAGTTAAATGTATTATCCTTTGCGACAGAATAGCTGCAGTCAGGATTTTTGCTTCTGGGCTCTTCTAACTCCTCAGCTGTACCCCAGGAATTATTGAAAACAGTAAATTGTCCAGGACTAAAATCATCCCTAAAATACTAACAATTTAACTGCATAGACAGAATCACAAAATCACAGGATTGACATGTTGGAAAGGACCCACAAAGATCATCGAGTCCAACTCCTGGCCCTGCACAGGACCATCTCCAAGAATCACACCACTTGCCTGAGGGTACAGTTGTATTCTACTGCCTCAAAGTACTTGTCAATATAACTGAAAACCACACATCACCATCCAACCTTAGTGGTTGACTCCATTAACCTGATGAACAAAGAAATGCATTTCAGTGTTGATCATTGAGCCTCAGGGATGTTTTGATGCAGTCGGAGACTGAAGCTTAGCAGCTGTACTGACTGTACTTCCCTGGCTGGCAGATTCTGAAATGTTTGTGTGATTTTTTTTTTTTTTTTTTTTGGTCAGCTCTCAACAACTGTCCTTCTGTTTGTAACCTCTTGTGGTAGTCGCAACCATTCTGGAATCTGGCAGAGCCTTGAGACATATCTAGCTTGATGTGGCTCTTCATTTGCATATAAATTTATTTCCCTTTCATATATCTTACAGTCAAATACACAATACATTTCAGGACATTAACTTTTCATTCTCTTGTCAGATAGTAGTAGAAATAAGACCAGCGAAAAAAATCCCCATGGTTAAACAACAATAAGGAAAACTGGATTATTTGTTACAGTCTTATTCTTGTTATGTTGCTGTGAATAATCAGTTATGTCTTTTAAGGGGGAATGTACAATAGACTAAAAAATCAAAGTTGTTTTGTTTTTTTCATAGAAAAACAATTTTGAACCTTTCAAATGCTGTATGTCATGGACTGCTAGCAAAATAGATACAAAATGACATGACAGCAATAAAAAAAGCAAAGTTCTATGATGTGAAAGATTGCTTGGAACAATCATAATTACAGTTTGAAAAAATTTAATTTGTATGAACTATTGTCATTTTTTTTAAAAGAACAAAATTTGTATAAATATTCTACTTTAGTTTTTCCAGAAAGGGTACAAGTGTTCCCTGTTTTTTTCCCATAGATATCTGCTCTATTTCCCCTAATGGAATAGAACGTTTCAATTGGAAGTTCATACAATGATTATTTTGTCTAACTGTCTGACCACTTCAAGGTCAGACACAAGTTAAAAAGTTGTTGAGGGTGATGTCCAAATGGTTCTTATACACTGACAAAGTTGGGGCATCGAACACTTCTCTAGGAAAAGTGTTACAGTGTCTGACCACCCTCTTAGTGAAGAAAAGCTTTCTAATGTCCAGTCTGAAACTCCCCAGTGCAGCTCTGAACCATTCCCACACATCCTGTCACTGGATCCCAGGCAGAAGAGATCAGCACTTCTCTCAGCAGTTCCCCTCCTTAAGAAGCTGTAGAGAATAATGAGGTCACCCCTCAGCCTTCTTTTCTCCAAACTAGACAAGCCCAAAGTCCTCAGCCACTCTTTATAGGACACTCCTTCCAGCCCTTCCACCAGTTTTGTTGCCCTACCCTGGGCACATTTAAGGATTTAAATGGCAATGCCCCAGATTGCACATAGTACTTGAAAAGAGGCTGCACTACTGCTGAATACACCAGGATAATCACCTCCTTTGATCATCTGGTGATGCTGTGTTTGGTGAACCCCAGGATGGGGTTTGCCCTCTTGGTTGTTAGGGCACGCTGTTGCCTCCTATTGAACCTGCTGTCAACCTCCACCCCCCTTTCTGATTTCCAGAATCTGATTTCCAGAGGGCTGATTTCCAGCCACTCCTCTCCCAGTTTATACTTGTGTCTGGTGTTACTCCATCCTAGGTACAGAATACGACATTTGAACTTGTTACATTTCATCCCTTTGATCATTGCCCATTGCTCCAATCTATTGCCATTTCTCTAATAGACATTTTGTTCCCTGAGAGAGTCAACAGCATCTCCCAGTTTGGTGTCATCAGCAACCTTGCTAATAGCGCATTCAACTCTTGCATCCAGACAATTGATAAAGATATTAAACAGAACTGGGCCCAGAACTGAACTCTGAAGAATGCCATTGGTGACTGATCACCAGCCAGATGTAGCACCACTCACTACAACTCTTTGAGATCTGCCCTTCGGTCAGTTCTTTACCCAGTACATTTCAGCTACAATACCCAGGGCCTCATACCTCCTTATCCCTTGGGTCTTCCTCCTGGCATAAAAGACCAGATCCTGACACTGTCTCCAAATACATGCATACAGGGTTGGCTTACATGCATTGGAGATTGCAGAGTGGAGCTCCATTGATCAATCACCCTCTAGGACTCTCAAATACTGCTCAGTTCGCCTACTTCCTCCTGCAGCTCAGCCATCAAACAGAGCAGTTCATCAGTCTGATCACACCTACCGTAGGCTTGCTTGCAATCACTTTGCATCTCTCAAAATATGCCCTCATGCATCCCACAGCTACAAACCTGGGTGGTCAGATGCTTGAAGAGGAGCTGAATCTGTGTGGCTGCATTGGTTCTCCATGGCGCTAGAAGCTCAGGAGAAGCAGAAACCCCTGTTTTTTGCCAGGCAGAGAGCATATTGTTTTCCTGCTGAGTAATATACAATGGCTTCCATTGCAATCAGCTCAGCTGATTGCTTCAGCCTCTTTGCAGCTCACTTGCTCCTGGGTGCAGGCTCTGTCTTCTCATCCAGTATGCTCAGGGAACACACCTCATTCAGACAAAGCCCTACTTGCCTACTTACATCTTTGACGTGTCCTGCTGCTGGTGCTCCTCACACTGCCCCAGCTTTTGCAGCAATCAGTGATTATGTTCTGATTGAAAAGGTTCTACACAGAACAATCGAATTCACACTGTTTTTATGCATTAGATCATAGATTATTACGATATTTAAAACATGATAAAAACCCTATGTAAAGAAAAGCCTCTTTCAAATTTTTTCTCTGATTTACAGCAAGATTCACTATGAAACTTCCCCAGAATTCACTATTTTAGTGCATTAATTTAATCTAAATCTGAACCGTGTTTAATTAAAATCCCAGTTCTGACAAAATATATACCTGTGCATCACTTTAATAGTACTTATGGGTAAAGGCACTTGAGAGACATTTTGCAGTACTACTTTAACAAATTTTAATCCACTGTTTATTGGGGTTGATAGTTAAGCCTTCTACGTTGTATAGCATTTCTTATAGCATAAGAGACAATATATTGCTTGGCTTAATTTCTGTCTGAAGACATGTATTTGCTGACTTTCCTTATATTACTGAGTTTCTAGCATCTGTCAAGTACAGTAAACAAAAAGGCTTTCGATCAACCTGGCCTTACTTGTAAAGGACAAATGAAAGCATGATTTATGTTAGTAAACACTTTTTAATTAACTTCAGTTATACTGATTTGGTTTTCTTTTATTTTGCTGCAGTCAAAGACTAAGTATATTGGATGCTAGAGCTGATAAAAGAGGTTATTTAGTAAAAAGAACCTATGAAGTGTGAAAAATTGAATTAATTAAAATCAGAATGTAAGCACACATTATAAGCCATGACCAAATTATGTTGGCAGTAGATTCATTCAGGATTTTGAATCATATATATCCAGCAAAAGTCAGGAACTACAAATAAAATAATTTTCATGATACAGATATATAGAACAACAGGTGCAGTCACAGGTTCATTTCAGCATTTATGAAAAAAATTAAGACAAAGTTTTCAACAATGAAGTTGTCTGCACATTCAATTTTTTTTAGTAATAATAAGTTGTGATACAAACCACAGAAAATCGATTAAGTTTAGGTGAAGCAAAGAAAGTAATGGAATGAGATGCTAGTAAAGTCTTTTGACCAAAAACTGAATAAAAAAACCCCTGAATTATAAATTTAGGATAACAAGAGGCACTAACATAAACAATTGAACCAAAAAAACTATTAAAAATAATGTAAATAAATACTCTGGAAAAATAACGGTAAATAAAACTTTTGTAGGTTGTATACTTTGTGGTCAAAACTCAAAAGAGTTTCAGAAAACTCTTCTATAATATCACTATATTTTAGTATATAAACAACTATGATTACTTTTCTGTCTTAATGAAATTGGATCTCTGAGTGGATTTATCTGTAAGTACACAAGCAGAATAAGTGTCCAATAGCAAAAAGTTATTTAATCTAATTTCAGCTAACAAAACCAAACAAAATTAATTGAAATTTATGTTGGAAACAAGCAAATAAAGAAACAAAAAGCCAAACATGAAAACACATAAATTCAACCATCAGAAAAGTCAGGCTATGAAGTAGTTTCCTAAATGGTATGGTGAATATACCAATATACTACTTCCTTCACTTTAGGATTTCACTTGTGGAGATAATGACCTGGCAACTTGGCACTGTTGATTTTGCCACCAAGTACATAATTTTATTACTACATTCCTTCCTAAGTGGATTTGGGCTTTATCTGTGGGGTTTTGATTTAATTGAAAAAATATATATTTCGTGAATAATGTAGATGTTCTGAACTTCCTTTCGAAACAATCCAAAAGACTAAGATCTTGCACTGAAAATTATGACAGTAAGGAAGAAAAGTGCAAGGCAGCATTCATAGACACATGCACCAATACTGAAGCCTGCAGTGCACCAAAACGTCAAGCATCAAACTTTCATTTAAATAAAGGCACTCAATGGGGATAACAGAGACTCTTCTGTTCATAATAAATATGATGTAAGATTCATCTATTATGGATTGATATTCATTTAAATTCCTGTTTTAATATGAACAACTCAATAATATTAATTCATTCAAAATTACTAGCATTAATTAAAATATTCTGGTTAGAAGCTTACTTACTGCATTTTTTAAAACTCTTCATGGTATATGTTGAAAAATCTCTTGCATTAAATCTTGTCTGTGTCATAATCCTCAAAAAAGAAATGTTTCTTTATGAAAGTTCCTATTTGGGCTTAGAAGTTTATTATCCTACTTTTGGAGTTCTCTTCAGTCACTTAATTCTAATCAAATCTTGAAATCTCAGACATTAGTATTATTGTTGTTAGTTTTGCTGTTTTTATAAACTAAACTGTGTCTTGGTCAAGAAGAATTTAAAGTAATTTACTCAGTAATTGATTGTTTAAATAGAGTATCCTGATTTTTCCAAGTGTAACATTCCATAACAGTTCTCAAAGGATGTATTAAGGCCATATGCCTTACATCTTAAAACTGCTTATCGCTTAAAACTGATGATGTTAAGATTAGTTAGTTAAAAAGGTGGGTTTTTTAAAATATTTTAGTGGTTTATTTTTTTATGTGTTAGCTGTGAGACTGAGATTTTGTTCATTGGAATAATTATAAAATTACTGTAACTTTGAGAAGCTATGTAGCTTACAGAAAACATTGAGAAGAAAAAAAACCAAACAAAAAAGAAAGAATTTTTAATGATGTACTCATTTAGTAAATATCATATGACATTTTTTGGTAAGAAAGTGATTTGACCTTTTAGGATGGTGATGAAAAATTTAAATCGCATTTGAATTCCCCACAAAGTCACCTATGAAGACAAGTTTTCACATCTTAAAGATATTCCTAAGTTATTTTCGATTGCTTTTTATCCACACGCCAGATTGATATTTTAAGATGGTATGGGTTTGATTAACTGGATATTTCATAACTATATAGAAAAGGAAAGGAAAATATATTTGCAAAGAGTGAGAATGAAAGGATGAAGAAATAATTTTTATATATATATATATATATATGAGATAAATACCAATGTTTATTACTTCATTTAAGTCCATCTGGTTAAGAATGATAGGAATACTTTAAATAATACAAGTTTAATTTATAACCTTAAAAGTCAGTAGGTTGCTGAGCCTCTAACATGCAGTTCTTCTTTCTTTTTTATTCATACTGTGTTAAGTGATTAAATTAATCAAAATGAGTAAACACAATGCAATAAGTATTTAAATAAAAATCGCTCTTCTACAGTTTATGCAAATCATAAATACCATTTTTATCTGTTATGTTTTTGTTGTGCTTTGCAAACAAATTCTAATATGCTCCCACGGTAGAATAATGAAGGAATAAATTTCTACGTGGAGTTAAAAAACAACCAACCAATCAAACCCAAAACAAAACCAAGAAATACTACTCTTCCTTTTGTAAGCCATTTCTCAAACCTGGTTGACTGTTCTCATTTAGGGTGAAAATGACGTGATTGTATTTTTTACAATTTCATTTAAAAATTTTGAAAGTTATTCCATCTTCCTGCTATTCTACAACAAATATTATAGTACATCTATAGGAAAAAAAAAATCTTATGTTAAAAATCTCCATAGTGATATTAAGACTGTCCATAACATTTGACCCAAAGTTTGTTATGCAAACAGCAAAAGACTTGAAACTAGAAAGATTTTAACGCATCCAGGGTCTAAGGAAAACATTTATGATACATTATTAAAACAAATTTAAAAAATTCATGTCTGACTAATGAATATGTGGGAACTATTTGGGTTTTGTGTCTTATCACTATATTTTGTGACTGACATTAAGATCGTGATGTTTATTTCAATCCTCAATAAATCTTTAATAAAAAATTTGTATCTTGGGCCTGGGTTTGTGCAATAGTTCAATGTAAAAAAAAATAACGACAAAACAAGAATACAAACAAAAAAATTCCTAAAACTTTACAAATTGTGACAATTACTATTGCAGTAATACTAATTTAAATGTTTAAGCACTTAAATATGTACTAAACATGTACTGAACTTATTTAAATAAGGAAGAGTAGGGATATTATTCGCTTCAACAAACAAATTAATCTCAATATGAAACTATTAATAACGTTATTGTATTCCTGTAGCATTTACAAAATTTTCATGGAAAAAAGTGAAGTTCTGATTGCTTTATAGTAGTTAAAAAAATGTGCAGCAGATTTAATTCCTGCTGAATCTGTAAAAATAATGTAAAACTTTGATTTCTCCTAGAAATCAGAACCTGAAATCCCAGTTAGCTCTTCTCAGAAAGCCAGGTTTTCTCTTCATGGTTTATCTGTTTCACTCAAATCATAATGTTTCAAGAGACTGGATTATTTTACAAAAACGAATGTAAAAGAAAATTTTCTGCTTTTTGTAACTCTTGTAATGAAAGTAAAGCAATTCTGACAGGATGTCCCCCTTCCCCAAATCATTTGGATGAATGAATACTTATTAAAAGTGTCTTTGGAATTAAAACTACCAAGAGAACAGTATAGAAATGTATTCTTCGTTCAGAAATATCTCTAAGTTGTTAGTTCACAAGAAAATCAGCTAAAAATGAAATACAGGAAAGTTTAAAGAGGAAGATATTTTTATATTTGAAGAGAAAAAAAACACAAACAAAAAATTCCCTGTATAGAATAGTTAATTTTGATTACTTTAAATTTGTTGTTAGCTTAAATGTGTAAACTAAATTTCCTAATGTTTACACTTCAGATAACACCAAATATGTTTGATTTAAAGAAGTGAATATCTAACTTTGATGTCAATGTTCTCCTAAGATAAGTACATGAAATTGGTAATGCAATACAATGGAGACATAGTTTATACATATAAGTGTATCATTCTGCATAAACATTTGATCAAGTGCTATTTGGAGTATTTTACCAGAACTAATAAATTATGGATCACAGT